GAGTATGACAGCTGCATTCACCTGTGTCTGTGCATTTCTCTGTGGAGCATGACAGCTGCATTCACCTGTGTCTGCACCTTTCTCTGTGGAGTATGACAGCTGCATTCACCTGTGTCTGCACCTTTCTCTGTGGAGTATGACAACTGCATTCACCTGTGTCTGTGCATTTCTCTGTGGAGTATGACAGCTGCATTCACCTGTGTCTGTGCATTTCTCTGTGGAGTATGACAACTGCATTCACCTGTGTCTGTGCATTTCTCTGTGGAGTATGACAGCTGCATTCACCTGTGTCTGTGCATTTCTCTGTGGAGTATGACAGCTGCATTCACCTGTGTCTGCACCTTTCTCTGTGGAGTATGACAGCTGCATTCACCTGTGTCTGTGCATTTCTCTGTGGAGTATGACAACTGCATTCACCTGTGTCTGTGCATTTCTCTGTGGAGTATGACAGCTGCATTCACCTGTGTCTGTGCATTTCTCTGTGGAGTATGACAGCTGCATTCACCTGTGTCTGCGCATTTCTCTGTGGAGTATGACAGCTGCATTCACCTGTGTCTGCACCTTTCTCTGTGGAGTATGACAGCTGCATTCACCTGTGTCTGTGTACCTTTCTCTATTAGGTTGTTAGAGCCTTAGAGCATGCTATGCTTCCCCTTGCATTTGTGCCTTGTTGAGGACCTGGCACAAACCAGTACAAAATAAGCCATTGTTGGAAAGCTTCAAAAATTAAACACTGCATAGCCTGGAGATACACATATATTTTTCCTTAACTGTTAGTATAACAACAGGCATAAAAATCTTTAGTCAGAACCAAGCAGTGGTGGCGCACATCTTTAATCCCAGCACTCAGGGAGGAAGAAGCAGCGGATCTCTGTGAGTTTGAGGCCAGCCTGGTCAAAGCTACACAGAGAAACCTGATTCAAAAAAAAAACAAAAACAAAAAAATCCTTAGTCAGATGTCTAGGGTTTAAGGGTTTAAAAGAATGTAGATGGACTCACTCAGACAATACATATTTTTAAAAAATTCTTTAACTTTTGAAATCCTTTGGCCCATCAATTTCAGGAATGGAGATTTGACAAGAAAATTCATTATATTCATGTTTAAATGAGAAAGCATGTTTGTTAAAAGTTGTACAAATAGACTTTGAGTGCCCATCCCATAATGAGGGATGCTCTCTCAGCCTGGACTCTTGGGGGAGGGCCTAGGCACTGCCCTGGATGACAGTCTCTGGAGATCCACCATGGTCACCCTACTTGGGAATCAGAGTGGAGATTGGGTCAGGGACTGGGGGGCCTGGTTGGGAGGATGGGAGGGAGACGGAGCTGGGATTGACATGTGAAACAAGCTTGTTTCTAACTTAAATACAAATAAATAAATAAATAAATAAATAAATGAAAGAAAGAAAGAAAGAAAGAAAGAAAGAAAAAGAAGGAAGGAAGAAAAGAAAAGAAAGAAAGGCTGGCACCTAGAGAGCACTCTTATGCTATATCACTTCAAAAGGTAGCATATGGAGAATCTTATAAGAAAGCTCATTTTATCTGACAGAGGTTGGTTGATTTATTTCAGATAGGTAATGTTCAACACAAGGATGTCCGATATTTTTTAAAGTATTAGACCCCAAGAAGCCAATATTTCTGATATTAATGCATTTGATTTATGACACTTGTAAGGATCATGTAAGTGCATAAAATGATTTTGCAAGCATGAAAAAAGTTGATAAATATAAATACTTCTATCTTTATATTTATACTCATCAGTATTATTATACTCACATGTGTTTTAAACTCACAAGTACTCTTTCCTAAGAGTCATCATCTTGGGTATTTCTGACTGAGAAAGTAGCCATCAAGTTTGACTTGGCTGCAGAACCTTTTAATCTCCAAACAAAACCTTAGTCACATCACAAGTTTAGAGAGACAACAGCAATATCTACTTTTCCCAAAGGTTTTAATATTTTAAAGACTCCTTTTTTCGTTTTAAATTTCTCTTTTCAATCCCACAGAAACAGCTAACCTGAACAAGGGGCAGCTCATGGACCCCAGACTGATAGCTGGGAAACCAGTATAGGACCGACCTAAACCCCCTGAACATGGGTGTCAGTTAGGAGGCCTGGGTAATCTATGGAGCCTCTGGTAGTGGATCAGTATTTATCCCTAGTATATAAATGGACTTTGGGAGCTCATTTCATATAGAGGGGATACTCTCTCAGCCTGACACACGGGGGAGGGTCTAGGCCCTGCTCCAAATGATATGACAGACTTTGAAGATCCCCCATGGAAGGCCTCACCGTCCCTGAGCAGCAGAAAGGAGATGGAAGAGGGGGTTGGCTGAGGGGTAGGGGAGGAGGGGAGGGAGAGGGAACTGAGATTGACATGTAAAACAAGCTTGTTTCTAATTTAAATTAAAAAAGAATAAAAAAATAAAATTTATCTTTTCAGTGTAGAGATGAGGAGCCTAGGAGACTACTCAGAGGCTACTCCTAGGGACCTCTCTGCCAGGAGAACACATTTGGAAAGATTTCTTCTTAAAAACGATTTATTCTGGCAAGTCTAAGGCTCAAATGTGGAGCTCACAAATGCTAAGAAGCATTCTTGAGTCACACCCTCAGCCTGAAGACCACTGTCCTTCAAGAGCAGTGTGGGAAGAGACGCAGATGCTTCTTCCTAGTCACATGTGTGATGGAGCGTGACCTCGGAGTGTGCCAAGCTCACAGGTGGTCTGCACTCTTGTCCCTTATGTGCCTTTTTCTTATCAGCCTATGCATCTGCATCGCTTCCCTAAGACAAAAATAGTATTTACTTTAAAAGTGGATTCTTCAGTAGCTTTTTCATATTGCTTTTTTTCTTGTTGTTTGGTATTTAAAGCATTAACCATTCCACTGGCTCACTCAACTGAAGTAAATGTCTTTGGTCTGATGGAAAAACAGAAGACACTGGATTCCAGGGAAGTGGCTCTACCACCCCGTCTCTCTGCACTGGAGCTGAGTTGTGAGGCCCCAGAAGAAGGCACTCTGTGCCTTTCAGTTCTGTGTCTTGTAAGTGTCTCCATCCTGGCACTTCCCTCATCTAACACTAAACACAACTATTTGCTGACTTAGTGCTTGTTTCTACCTACCAAACCAAAGTTTCATGAAGGCAAAGACAATGCTTAAATTTGCCAGTGCATTCTACAAAGCCTGGGACAATGTCTAGCAATTGTTTATAAACATGTGTTGAGCGACTATGGAATACTGAGCCACATTAAGACATTCTTTTCTAAATAGGTTGTCAAAGATCCTATTTTCAGTACTGTTTATATTTCTGAAGACTTCAGTGCTGGCCTAGTGTCACATTCATGACACATACTTCATAAAAGCTGCATTAACTGTCCCATAGCTCACGCAGATAAGCCTATTCTAGGACCACTGACCCTTTTTGGGGAAAGCCTGTTTCAGAGAACAAGTTTTCTGGAACACAGAACGAGGCTCTGCTTCGCCACCATTTCTAGCTCCCCAGTCCCACAGTCACTCAGCTGAAACACTATCAAAAGCTCATCCCAATGCGCATGCCCACCCTGCCCCACAAACACTGCGCAGCAGCCACTAAGGTCGGCGCCATCTTGTTAGGCATCCACACAGTGTAGTAGCAATGGCTAACCAACAGTCTCAGAGGCACTTTTACAACTAAATGGAGACCTTAAACACCAAAACAAACAGGGTAAGAAAAATAACCACAGAAGGCACCATATAAGCGAGACACAACATTTTAAATACTTCCAAATATTTGGTTTCAAAGGATAAATGGAGCATGTGGGCTTTGCACATCTTTGCCTGCCAAGTCTCAGTAAAGCTGACTGCACTGCAGTCATCTGAAACAGCTGTTAGCACTGAGCTTCAAATATTTGGTTTCAAAATACAGACCTATTTGCGCTGTACAACTAGATGTCTGTGCTCCCACTATAGCTGTACTGAGATAATCCTTCTCCAGTAGGCTGCTGGCAAAAACATGGGTGAGAATTATTTCAAATAGACAGGGCAAAATGATAACCTCAAAGGCATGAGCTGAACTGCCCTGGTTTTAAAGTTAGTGAAAAAGAAAATGTGAAATGCTAGGATTCTTGCTGGATGGTAACGTCCCCTTCACTGTGGGCTTCTGCAAGCTGAATTTCATGTTTGGCACACTTTCCTTGTGGGAACTCAAATATAAACTATCAAGTCCACCTCACTTGGGGCTGTTGGAAGCTCCAGGCCACAGAGAAGGCTCTTAGTCTAGAAATAAGTGAGTGGTTTAAAACAACATCGTCCCCTGTGTGGTGTGATTAGCCTGTTTCCAAGGGCTGTATGTATTCATAAATATCTGGCTGGTCTTAGACCTCTTAAGGCTTCACAGAAGTACAAAGCAACACCTCAGAAACTGTAATGACAAATGTCTGTCTCTTCTCAACAGACATCAGTTTTGGTTAGCCAAGTTCAACTGACTGGGTTTATCTTAACTTTTAAGATGGCAGTCAGTACAAGTACCTATCATTAGCCTACCATTTCTCTCCAGTCTGTCACTCAAACCACGTTCTTGAAGGGCACTCAAAAAAATAAATGATTATACAATTCACAATACTCTCCCCACCATCCTACAAAATGGTAGGTAGTCCTTCTTTACCCTACTCTTATTTTATATTATTTATGTATATGGGTGTTTCGCTTGCATGTGTATCTGCACCACGTGCATGCCTGAAGGCCAGAAGAGAGCATCAGATCCCTCGGAACTGGAGTTACAGATGATGTGAGCCACCATGTGGGTGCTGGAGACAGAGCCGGGTCCTCTGCAAGAGCAGCCAATGTTCTTAACTGCTGAGCTCTCTCCAGCCCTTGAAAGAATACAACTTAAAAATACCTTGTAGTTTAGAGAACTAACTAATGAAGGAACTGGGATGTTTCCTATTTCCCAACTTAGCATTCCTCTTTTGGGGGTAGCAACCCAGTTACTTAATTCCAGGAAGATGTGTGTGTTCTCCCCAACCTTACCTCTTTATGCACCTTCCAACTGTCTACCGTCACATTGAAGAGAGCTTTGAGGGCCTCAATGGCACAGTCTGTCTCCTGAGGTGAAAGAGGAGGTCCATTATGGTCTATGGCCGATTCGTACTCATCGGTCCACTTGATGCTAAAGGCACTTTCCAAGATCTGGGTTAGCAGCGGTAGTCCCTGGAGCTCATAGCGCAGTTGTGACCTGATGTCAGTGTGCAAAAGTGACAAGAGGAAGAGCAGGCGCAAGTCAAAGCACTTGATGTCATTGATAAATTTTCGGTCCTTGCACTTTCTCAGGAGGTTACAGAGCTTTGCTGCGAGATTCAGTTCCAGGCTGAGCTGCTGGGCCATCTGACTGTTGAACACAATGTTACACAGACACTTTAACGATTCTACAATAACCGGGAACTCTGACACCTTCTCCAAAGAATCATCCGACTCGTGCAACTTGGCTAGTCTCAGCAGTATTTGCATATTTTCCTTAGTTGTTACAGGAACTAAAATCTTTTTGTCTCTGGAGAGAATGCGGAGTACTTCCAGGCAGGACACTTGACATGTTGTTGGGACATCCTTTACAAGGACTTTAAATATACCTTCACAGAGTTTCTGAAAAACAATAGCAAGGATACAAAAATAATTATTTGGCTGAAATTATTTCAAACAGAATGTTTTCTACCAGTGTAGGCTAAAGATCTGGCTATAAAAGGGTTTTAATTTTACATAAATCACAAAAGCATCACATCCTTCACATCTACAGACATGGAAATTGAGGGCAGAGGGTGAGGGGCTTGCACTGGGCACGGGTCAGTGGCGCAGGAAGAGCTGGAGGGTGCAGTCACTGCCTTCTTGGTCCACTGTTTTTTTCTCTTAAAACCACATATTTTATCTTAAATCACTAGAATAAAGTATCTTCCATAAGCTTTAATAGTAACAGGGCTTTAAGATGCACAGTATCGGAGCAAAGGGGAATCAGGGCTAAAGCTGGAGACCTGATCCACAGCTGAGTGTGGGTGCCCATGGAGGCAAGAGGAGGATAGTTACAGGCAGGTGTGAGCCCCCGCACGTGAGTGCTGGGACCAAACCCGGGTCCTCTGGAAGAGCAGCAAGTGCTCCTGACAGCTGAGGTCTCTCTCCAGCCCCTACCTTATGTTTCTAAAGTATCTGTACTGCCAAATTTAGTGACACTGCCTCAAAATTCCATGTTAGTTTTCTTCTTAAACCGCATGTCTACCTCTCTCAAACTTAATCTCATATATAGGCCAAGCAACTGTTATCATTCTATTAAGATGTTTCTATATTCCATTTTTTAAAAATAACAGGCACGGTCAATAAGATTTTTATATTTTTTAAATTTTATTTTATGTGCATTAGTGTTTTGCCATAGGTTTCGGGTCCCTTGGAACTGAAGTTACAGACAAGTTGTGAGCTGCTCTGTGGGTGCTGAGAATTCAACCTCTAGAAGAGCAGTCAGTGCTCTTAACTGCTAAGCCATCTCTCTAGCCCCAACAAGATTTTGAAAATAAAGGTTCTATTAGCCTATCATTAGACTTTAACTTTTCAAAAAGAAGCTACCTGGGGTCAAACATGATTTTGCCAAGACTCCCAGGTCATGTGCCATTTCCTGATACACACTATTCACACAACTAATAGAAATACTAATTCTAATGTAAATGCCTTCTAAATTAAAGGAGCTTTACGTGACATGGTGAAAAAAACATCCTGTACCCATGTCAACTCTACCTGCCTCACCTGGTACAATGCTTTCTTTTAAAGTCTTAACAACACTGCTAAGGCAGTCTTTTAAATGGGTGTTGTCTAGAGTTACAGTAAGTATGGCAGTCATTAAAATTATATAGGGCAGAGAAATTATTCCATTTCAGATCTGTCAAATCGAAAACAAACATACACATTGTGCATGCTATTTTTCACATGGTACGATCCTGGAGTAAAAACAAACTATCTTTACCACCACACAATTTTTTTTCAAGAAAGAAATGATCTATCTTTCTGCATAAGAAACCTAGAATACAGGACTAGAGAGATGGTTCAGCCATTAAGAGCACTGGCTGCTCTTCCAGAGGCCCAGTAACCACATGAAGGTTTAAAACAATCAGTAACTCATTTCCAGGGATACATCACTGTCTTCTGGCCTCCAAGGGTATTGCATGCACATGGTACAGGCATCCACACCAACAAAACACTCATACACATAATAAAAAGAATAAGAAAATAACTATGAAATTAATAAATATAAAACGTAACATGTGTATATGGTATAGTACACAGACATCTTTACCTTCTAACCCCAAAACAAAACAAAAGCAACAAAAATCTACACAGGCCCTTTCTTCTTCAGACACAAAAAGGAAGACAGCATGAAGGGGAACTAGAATAGCCCAGGCTACAAAACGACAAAGGACTGGGAAACTGAAGCCTATGAAGAAAGGTCAAGAAGTCAGAGCTGCCTACAGAGTTCATACTTTACATCTAAAGGCTCCCACAGGTCACCCAGCATCTAAAGACATGCGTTTCTGTTCTCCAGCAGCTGCCAACCCTTCCTTCTCCCGACCATGTCACTTCTCGTGACCAACACACCTCATATAATGACCCTTAGACAGTTTTCTACTGTTTTTTGAAAAGTAATACTGGAAAGGTAGTTAGCTCTGTGATACAAGTGCTTGTAATGCAAGCCATGAGGGTCAGGGCTTGGAACCCTAGACTCTACATGCATGCTGGGTGGGCGTGGCAGCCTGCCTGGATTCCAGGGGCAGGAGGCAGAAACGGATTGCTGGACCAACCTGGTTATCTGAACTAGTTGTAGTGGTGAGCTCTGGATTCAAATGAGAGACCCTGCCTCAATAATAAGATGAAAAGTGACTAAGAAGCCACCTGACATCAATTTTGGGCACACACACACCCAACTTGCACACAAGTATAATCCATATATGCCAAATGTACGCACAAGCATGCACATCACAAACACATGAAAAAGAACATATAAAAGTAAGCAAGCAGTATTTAAAAGATATACTTACTATTTTACTGAACGTAGTAATTCTACTCAAAGGATTTTAGAAGAAAACAACTGTGTACCGCATTTGGATCAGTCAGGAAAACGGGATGCTTATGTTTAAACCAAGCCAAGGGGCTGAAGAGGCAGCCTTCTCTGTGACTCTGCCTGACTCCACGAACTACTTACAGACTTCAATAGCCCTCTAGTGTTTTTCTTTCATTCCGCATGCCAGTATTTATCAAGTTTGTGGTGGTGTTGGGGATTGAACCTAGGGCTTTGTGAATGGCACGTAAGTGCTCTATCACTGAGTCAAAGATGGGTACTCTTCAAATTTATTTTACACTTAAAATACATTGTATGTCTACAGTCAAAGTATAAGACCAGGAACAGAAACACTCTGAGAGGCACAGAATAGTTAACACAGACTGACACACTTTAGGTGTTAGGAGGTTAACTAACATTCATTCTCAAATGCATGCAGAAATGCAGACAAATGGAGCATAGAACAGTAAGCAGAGCTGAAGGCCCATGGCACAAATACAATAACTTCTTTAGTGGCCTTGGCTGTTGATGTGTAAGCAGAGCAGGGGTAGGAATAAGTATCGTTGTTGGATCAAAAGTCTTTTCTTAAATGTTAGAGACCATTCATGTGTGAGGCACATTAGTTGTCTAAGGTTGACTCTGGGCTTGAAACCTGTTCATGTTACCAAAGACCCTACAACCAGAATAAGATGGTGTAACTGGGAACAGGAGCTGTATTCCAATCTTGCCTCTTGTACTCACTCCTGGTATGAGCTTGGTAAGTTATTCTTTTCTTTGGACATTACACTTATCTTTAATATCATACATACACAGCACTTAGGACAATGCCTGGCATGTCATAAACATTTAGCACAGGTTTCTAGTATGCACACTCACAGGACAAAAAAATCATCAAGTCTTCAGTTTTGCATTTAAGACCCTCTGATCTGTCTTTACAATTTTTGAAACATTTATTTGTGTGTGTGTGTGTGTGTGCGCGCGCGTGCGCGTGTGCATGCACACAGGCAGAGGTCATAGGACAAGTCTGGGAGGTGTTTTTTTCCTTCCAACATGTGAACATGTTAAGTGTTGGGGAACAAGCGCCTTTACCTGCACAGCATTCTGACTGGCCTAGTCCGTCTTTTGAGTTTTCTCAAAGGCACAAAGGTACCTTCTGAGACTGACGTTCTTGATAAATTGTCTCACATTTAGCCCCTCTATGTACATCAATCTTACTGTTTATAGTTTAGGCATTTTCTAAACTAAGTTTAAATTTCACTTTAAGTTTTCCATAACCACTGTAACCCCAAACATTCTTCCTTCCCAAGGAATATCCAGCCACAATTTTTAGTTATCATCCTGTGTTTAGTATATCTGTCCCATTTTTCCTATGGTTTGCCTGGCTGTCTGGCAGCACAAGGACTTGCTTTTATAAAAGAAGAAAATGTACTGTAATGCTGTTTCAATCAAGAAGACCTGCCTTAATATTTGACTTTTGCCATTATGAGGTTACTTTAGGGGGCTGGTTGTATAATTAGACATATTATGTTCTGAGCTTCAGTTTCCCACTTGTCTAATGGGAATAATTTCCCAAGTATGTCATATAAGCAATGCCATTGAAACAGACATAAAAACAGTCCTTCATGGTGACTTTCATTGTTTTATCTTCCTGTAACTGTTACCAGAGCGAGTGGAGCACAAGAAACATCCACAAAACAAATGGAAGTTCCCAGGCTGCAAACATTAGCATCTTCCTGACATCATTTTAACACTTCTTTCAAATAGGGAAAGGCCACTTCTATCTTGTGAAAAAGGTTTCCACATAGGAGACTTTTCCAGAAGGGCTTAGATTATGCCAATGCACATGTTATTTAAAATATAAATTTAAAGAAAAACACCTATCTTTTTAAGAAGAACAAGAAATTGAGCAGGGGTATGGATCAGGAGGAATTAGGTGAAGAAATGAGTGTGACCAAATACATTGTATGAATGTATAAACTCTTCAAAACTATAATAATAAAAACAATCCTCACAACCATACTATGTTCTATATGCCACACAAAGGGTTTTACCCTGAGTCAAGTTATTTGAGTTTTAATAACATGCATATTATTTTAACAAACAATTATAATCATGTATACCTAATTTTGTTTCCAAACATTTAAAAAAACACCTCATTTTCCCAGTTGCCACAGGGTCCTTATATAAATGCAATTTTTAAAAAGATTTAATTTTACTTCATGTTTAAAAGTATCTTGCCTACATATATGTATGTGTACCACATACATGCTGGGTACCCTCAGGGGCAGAAAAGAGCATTAGATACCCTAGGAATGGAGTTACAGACACTCACTAGGAACTGAACTTAGGTCCTCTAGAAGAGCAGCACTTTTGATTGCTGAGCCATTTCTCCAGGCCTTCACAAATGTAACTTATATGAACACACTGAATGCAATTCCTGATGTCGCTGCAACTTTAACACGAAATGCAGTCGATTCTAGGATGTGTCTTCTAAAACTATTTTAAAAGCAAATTTCAAGTTTTAAACATAAAAAAAACACCTTTGTTTAAA